GGACTTGGCAGCATGAGCAACACATCAAATTTCATCCGCATAAAGAAGCTGCGTTTTACTTGAATTCCAAAGCGCAATTACAGGACTTGGCAAAGTGCCAAGAGCGCAGCGCGCGACACGCGCCGCGCGGACGGCGTCAGCATGAAAGGGATTCTGCGCCGCGGAAGGCAATGGGCGGAGCATGGAGGAATAAGCGTTTTCATGGTCCTGTATCTCCATTCCTGCTCATTAGGACGGTGACACCGCTACGCTTCGACAGCGAGGGGCTAGTAGTCACGCAAACCCAAACTATGCGTGATCGTACCATGTGCCTTCAAAGAGTGTCTACAAAGAACAAGGCTGTACCACTGTATTGGTTTTCTTCTTTTATCAACGTAATCACAAAATTTTTCCTACATCAGTGTAGATCTCCATGGGATTGGATACCTTCACCGTGATATTAAACCTGCCAATTATACTGTCGGGAGACCAGAAGTGAATGAGTTACGAAAGGTGATCCTCCTCGATTTTGGAATGTGCAGAAAATACACAAATGATCAAGTTAGTAAGCAAGGAGTTTTGTGATTTTTTTTCATTAGCGAGTAGTGGGTAATGGGGCTCAAAAACAAAGGAGGGCACCCTATCGCCTCACACGCAGTCTACTCTATCAACCAAAACGATCACGATTACTTCTCTATGATAACATCACGAGTTGGAAATGGAGACGAAACGCAGGAGTTATCTGTACGCTCAAAGGAATGTCCAAGGTTCCTTCCCGCGCTGTGGCAGGGACCGCTTTTCTTGTTAGAAGTCGCCACTTGTTCCGATTCACTGCATTTTCTGCCGTAGCATTCACTTAAGTAAGGTCCTTATCGATGAAGTCCCTCCACCTTCTCATTGAGGCTCCTCGTGGTCACTTGCCCTCTACGAAGTCCGACGCTTTTTTCATAGTTCCCAACCGCAGACCCATCTCAGCACCCTCATTTCAGTTGAGGGAAGCTCCCTTCCATGGTTGTTGCATATGGGCCAGCAGTGCTGCCGTAGACCATCGCAGGCCTCGCTACTGCCCGGTACACCTTGCCCTTGAGCGTTGTCGAGCACAGCCGGCCGCAGAGCAGAGGATACCTGCGCCTCATAACATCCTGGCTGCATTGGATCGAGCCTTTACCGCTTGGTCCATCACTATCATTTGCTACATAGCTCCCCAATTACGTGAAGTCCTTGACACCACTGGTTCGGTGCACTCTTCGAGGCTCAGCAATCTGGTCTTCTTACCTCCAGCGGGAGTCCATTTTCAGCGAGCACATTCTGCTACCGCTGCACATCACCTTGGAGTTCGCCCCTGCTATCCGCTGTAAGGCAATGTCGTTATGTAGAGGATAGTCCCCTCCACGACTTCTCTTGCTATGGCACCATTCAGGTCAGGAGGAAGAGGAACGAGCGGAGGGTGGATCTTTTCTGAACCTCAGTAGTGATGTCCACCTCCTTTGTGGTGCGAGCACCTGCCTTTATCCACGTACTTGTCCCTCATTATACAGATGAGGTGTTGGAACGTTTCTTTCTCCAAGAGCAGATACAGGAAGAAGAGGCGTCGAATTTCTTCTCAAGGTCCAGGAAGGCTCGGAAACAGGGTTTCGCTTCTCCGGTACTCTGTACTCTCCATCACGCATCAGAGGTAGATGTAAAGCCGAACTGCTCATGCAAGTAGGGGACAATTTCTCTTAGCCCCTTGTTGATCAGCTGCTCGTATAGCTTCGTGGTATGCGGAGTCAACTTGATGCCGCGGTAGTTGGAGCACTCCGTCGCGTCTCCTTTCTGTTTGAAGATGAGGGAGTATGTACTCCTAAACCTGCACTTGGCATGACCTTCACTATACCTAACTCTCGGCGGACCTCATCCTTTTTCCAAAGGCCATTCTCCAAAGGTTCTCTGGAGGGGATGTAGGCAAGTTGATCGCTACCATGCGCGCGGTCGGAGATCTAACCCTGGATCTAATCCCATTCTCTAGTCCAATCGCTTCAGGGAATCATCAGAAAGCCCCGCTCATCGGCGGGTTTCCGTGGTACGGTACGCTACGCTCCTCTTGCAACTCATATGAGTAGAGAAATGGCCAGAAAAGACGATGTCGAAACTTGGATATATCAGCAAGTAGAGTTTACAGTTGGAAGAGTCCCATGGAAAGAAGTGCAGGACACCAAACAGGTTTTTCATTTTTAATACGATAACTAGCAGAAATTACTAGAGTAACCGCGTGTGTTCAGGTCGGCGAATGGAAAAAGAAAGCTCGTGAACCCCCAGGCCTTAATCAGCTTTTTGCTCCACCATGCCCTCCAGAATACATAGAAATACTTAAGCTTGTCGATTCTTACAAGTACTACGATCAGCCTAATTATCAGCAAATTTATATGGTGCGTAGATTCAAGACTTTACATTGAATATTTTTAAGTGAGAACGTATGCAAAGGAAAATTTGGCGCAGTTGGGCTTGGAGGGGGGGGGGGGAGGCACTGCACTTTTCCGTGTTGTACCACAACACGGTTTCGCAATATGTTACAGGTCCCCACTTGCTTGGGTTACGTGACATCTTGAACTTCTGTGCATGGTCCTGTTACGAAACCCTGTGAAGCAGACGGATAGAGGACAGAGGCTGCCAAAGCATCGAAACGTGGAAGAATCATATAGCGAGCCAGGAAACGGGCTTTTCAAAGGGAGGGGACTCCTGGGTGTGTTGGGTGAGCTACTTAGAATCGGTGAAAAGCTGGAACATGCGAAATCACGACGGCCATGGAGTGTCATGCACAGAAAAAGAGAGCGCAGAGAAAAAGAGAAGATCGACGCGTCTAAAGGGATTAAGATCAAGTTGTCCGTAAACCACTTGCTTGATGGCTCGACACGACGATGGGAAGTAGCGAATGTGCAGATGTCCCCCCCGCCATACTCATCCAAACTGCGCCGAAAAATTCCGACTTCCGAAGGCACCGTTGGAAGAGTCATGAAGAAGGTTCTTGATGCTCTCGCTCAGTTCTTGAAGTCGTGTGCGCTGCAGACTCCAGGGCAAACCGGCTGGGTTTGACGCGGCACCAGCCTCTTTTCCTCTTCTCCACAGTTTTTGAAGAACACAAGCAACAACAACTGGTGGGGAGAAGGCTGGCGTTACGCCAAACCAACCCCTGACACGCCTCAGCGTTTGTAGCGAAAACCACTGCACACTTGTCTGCAAGCGCTTAGAATTCGACGAATTAGAGGTGCTTGGCACGGTCATTGAGGCGTTTGTCGCGCCTGTTCACCTTCGCCCAGTGATAGGAGTGATAAGGCTCTGATTTTACCCCTTGCCCACTCAGTTTCAGTCTAGTTGCTCATCTATTTCCCACACAGTCTCGAGTCAGCGTTCTTGATGGAAGCTCTTATAGGACTCCTACAAATATAAGAATGTGCTGCAAAACGTCGGGCACCTACCTATGAGCAAATAGTCTTGCGAGCTCTGTTCGTTGGTGAGGGGGGGAGAGGTTGAACGTGGACGGCGCCAGCCTATTCGCCACCAAATGCGGTCGCCTGCCAGCTTCTTCAGTTGGTGGAGTGCGGTTGGCGCCGCTTCCCCCCTCCCCCCTCAAAACACAACCAGTGTGCGCAGGGAACGAGATTGTAGTCCCGCTATACAATGCAACATAATCATGAATCAAAATTTCAGCTTATGCGAAGAGCGTTAGAGAACTGTGGACAACCGGAGTTCCCGTACGATTGGGAGACTTAACCAGCTTTCAACGTTATCGAACTTACTACTGAACAAATGAAGACTTCTGTACCAACAACTAAATGAATACTTGAAGAAAAGAATGTTCACTTTTTGCAAGACTATTGATATTATTTTATCAGCAGTGTACTGTATTCCGAGCACTATCTCAATGGCAGCTGGCTTTAGGCGGGACGTCAATGTAGTGCAGCGACAAAGAGGCGGCCGGCTTGATATGGGGGACGCCCAGTCGCGGTGTTTAATGCCTGTCCCGACCAACTAAGGCTATTTCTTTCTCTCTAACCATAAGGGGGCAGAGACGGTTAGTGCCGTACCATAAGGTGAATTCCTGCTCTAAGGAAGCATTGGCGGGAGAGGGGGTCATCGGCCTCACCTGTGGCTTCCGTTGATGCAATCGAATTGCTTGCGAGCAGGACCAGTAAACGTCTCCATCCGTCGTGGGCAACAGTGCTGGCAGTTTCATAGATGGGTTCTTCTGTGGCTGGGTGGGGACGCTATAGCATCGTACCCTCTTAGAGAAGCCTAGGTTATGCGAAGTGTGCAGTGCCGTCCAGGGGTCTTGGAGTCTGAAAATCCGCATTTCAATCGGTAGTTCCAGCGCTCTCTATCGAAACGCATTGACGTTGGGGGGCTCACCTGTTCTCTCAAAGACGCTTATGCAAATACTCACGTCCCTGACGTCCAGTCGTTGAGCGGATGCTGAGCTCCGGTTTTTCATCATTAGCGAAGGGGCGCGGAGCAATTCTACTGAGCATCACTCTCCTCGAGTGGGGCGCGTTAGATGACGCCCGCTTGTTCGATCCTGCTTGCACAGTGTTTTAGCTTACTCAAAGGCAGGAGGGGCTGACAGATTAGAACAGGTGAATAAGAACCTGGGTTGCTTCGTTAGTTCCCCGATTGGATGCTACTTGAGTCGCTCGCTTCCTTCTGCCTCAGCAATGGTGCAAGATCGTTCCTCGGCTTGATTTCCTTGCCCAGTTATACAAAAGGAGAATCTTTGTCTCAGGGACGAAATTCTCACTACATTCCCTCCATCTGTATTTTCCTCTCTATTACATCAGAGAAACTGACAGTAGACGGACCACTGGAACGTGATTTATGTAGAGTGATACCACTATATATAATTCATCAAGTATTCTGTCAGGATGGATGTGTGTGTGTGCGTGTGTGTGTCCGTCTGTATGTCACGAAATTCATAGTCACCCGTCGGCAGCGGGCGTAGAACGTTGGTTTCAAAGAAGTGACATAGATTTGGGACGGAAACATTATTGACGGTGACAGAAAGTGATAGCAGCTAATAAGATCCAACAAGAAAGGAAGGAGAGGGTCATCAAATTGAGCAGCTATTGCAATTGGTGAGAGCAACAGTGGGACCTCGCTCTCGAGAAGTGATCTAGGTTGTGGGACGGAACATTATTGGCGGGTTTCAGGAAACGACAGCAGGTGTAATAGGAGTTGAAAGTTATAAGTTAACATGTGAGAAAATCCGCTAGCAAATCCGCTAACAACCAACAATGCTATCAATATGACCCAAGTATCACGATCTCAGTGATTTCAGCACCAGCTCATTCTGACTCCGCTTGTCAGTAAAGCGGCATCATGTACGACGCTAAACTAGCTATATTCCAAATGCATGGTGTTTGTTTACAGAAATGTTAATGAAATTGCAGCAATTTGATTCTAAAGGCACATTCGCCGAGTAAGGAATCGTATGACCTCTCAAATGTGTCGGACGAATCCGAAAGGCCGATTTGTGAGGCTGCGCTTCAAAATGTGAAAAACGGGCAAGGACTCGCTAGAAGCCTGACTAATTAGCCCATGGACACCCCTTAGGCCATGCCGACCCTCACCGCTGCTAGCTACTACTAGCTAGTAACCACTATGTTATCTTTCTCTATAACATTTTCGTACTGCTTTTTCTGCTGCTGCTAACGCTTATCAGATACTTAGCCCACTTTTTTGTGCCTATTTGAGTTCGCATTTCCCGCAATTTGCCGGTCGCGAGCTGTGCCTTTAATCACTCTTAACATGAATAACTTTCATCATCAACCTTAGTGAGGTCATGCGAAAAGGTCTCTACTACGGAAATGGCATCTGAGTGCAATTCGAGAGCAAGAAGCTCTAATAGTGGAGAATGGCATGAAGCAGTAGCTGTAGCGCTTCAGCGGCTAACCCAGGTTCCTATATTCCGTATAGGATGAACGTACCAGTCGGATCGCTGGCTAACGCCGGGCTCATCTTCGGTGATTACGGGCGGAAGCTGCTGCTGTTTCTGCGTCTTAGACAGGGCGAGTGCTGCTTCATTGCGCTGCTTCTCGGTTCTTGGTTGATGAAGAACGCTCCTTTGAAGTACAAGTACAGTGGGTCAACGATCAGTAACCTAGCACGCGGCAAATACACGCCCGTCCGGTGAAGCCGGGCCATGTCACAGAGGGAGGAGCGCCCGACGACAGCTGGGCTATCCGACTGGTTCCTGTGATAAAGCGACATCACCATTACACTTAGCGAATTTACCATCCCGTTTTCTTGAGTATTTCACAAGAAATTTGGTCGTTGACGTTCATCATTGATGTCTCAATTGCAGTGTTGCCGTGTTCATGCTGAGTGTGCAGTGCACCTTCTTGAGCGAAGGAATGCTGGTCGATTTCGACTGCGCGTAAGATAAAAGCTGGTTGCAGATGAAACTGACGAAGGCGATGTCCATGGAGAGCGGACTGGTTTTTCATACCTGTTTCTTGTTCAATAGACAATTTTGTCTCAATGCTCTAGCTATGCATGCGTGCTATGTCGGAAATCAAAATCAAGATGGCAGACCTAGTACCGGATTGCGGAAGCGAGCGGCTTGGCGAGCATTCAAGAGCATCGAGGGAGAAGGGAGAAAAACGAAGAAGACCCGACTTCATGCTCAACTCTTCGATTCTTGGATCCTTTCTGGCCAAACCTATGCCTCGGAGACTTGGACCGTACGAAAGCAAAATGCGCATGCGGTCAACGCCATTCAACTAGTCATCGAAAGAGCGATGAACGGAGTTCCGCCTTACTGTTCCGATCTAAGGTTAGAGAGGTAATCCGGAGCTCCGCATCCGCCGACGACCAAAGGTAATAGACGCAGTCGCTTCGCCAAGACTTGGAAGATCAGGTGGTCCGGACACGCCATGCGTTTCGAAAATGACTGATAAATCACAGCGATTACAGATCGGATTCCACGGGATCTCAAGCGAACACCTGGACGACGGCCTACGCTTTGTTCAGACTTCTTCGTGGAAGCTCTGAATGATTGGTATAATGGTAATCGTGTCCCTCGAGCACCCACTGGACAACTCTGAGGCGTTGCAGGGACGAGTAGAAACGGTTACTGGCAACTCGATGATCAGTGGGAGTACAGGTGATACATGTGGTAATAAATCGGAGATTGTCTACATATGCTCCCAAGTATCGCGCTTTATAGATGTGAGCAGTGTTGTGCGGGTGTAAGCTAGGACTCTTCGTGGGGTCACCGCCGCCATTTTCTACCTTGCCGAGCGCGGCGACTACTGGCTTACTGGGCAAGGCCTCAACAATAGTGCTTGTAGGACCCTAATAACTTGAGGCAGTCCCGCTCAAGCAATTCGTTGTCGTCCTTGCTCAGGCAAGTAGTCCAGCTCCCAAGCTGAGATCCCTTTCTGGGAAATCCACTTTCGCGATTGTACAGAGGGTGAGAAGGGTGCTACAGTTGCCTAAAGTTTTAGTTGTAACATCCGCTCAGTTGGCTCGCCCAGCGCGCCTCTTCACATCTAGCACGAGGGGCCCAGTTGTTATGTGTTGGAGCGGAGGCATGAATCTAGATTGTGCTCCATTTTTGCCTACCACGCTCGTGCTCATCGGTTATTCCGCTCTCCTTCACTACTTTTTCTTCATTAAAAGCAAATGCAGTCAACAACAACCCTGCTCGCAAGATAAGACTCTTTCAACTCACCAATTATGCAAATGCTGTGCAATACAGATAACCAATGCAAAAGCTCGACTTGCATTGCTACCGCAATCCTCAACTCGTACGCAATAGGTTTTCAAAGGTTTCTTTCTGTCGCGAGATTGGCTTCGGTGTCTTTGTGTTATTGTTTTTTGCTTTGCACTGGATGATATTTAGCACTGGATGCGAGAAAGCGCCAGGCTGCACGGAGACCACAGGGCGGCGAGGCTTCAGGGAGCGTTTGTTTATGTTTCATGGAAATCCTTTTGCTCTCTCGTCTTGAGGAAATCACTTATTGCTACTGCTTCTTAACTGAAACAACTCTCCAATAATACTTATCGAGACGGTCTTGAACCTAGCCTTCGCATCATGCAACCTGTTCAGCAATTTGCCAAGTTGTCCAAGTAATCATAAGGACCGCCATCAATTCCTGATTCTGTATTTCTCTGAAAGTCTGGTGTATTTCTCTTCCCTACCAGATAGCGTGTTCATTTATGGCTGTTTTTATTGTTTTAACTGTTTCAATGTGCATTTTACTGGCTTCGATGCCGCGCAACGTAAAGCGCTAACAGGCATAGTTGTCCGGAAAGTTCTTAGCTGTTTTGGATGTTTCACTTTAAACTGATCCTGTAACTTTTCATATACTCATCGGATTAATTCGCAAATTAAGCACCAGTTCCGAATCAGCCACACTTCGCACATGTGGCAGCAGTCGAGAAATCCCATCAAAGAAAAAACTGGTGTCCGAGAATCCACGAAATCTTGCGAAGCGTCTTTTTTGCCTGGATCTTATTGATGAAGTATTTTTCAGCAAGGAAGTTCTGAAAATGTCTGAAAAGGTGACAGTCGGTTTGGTTGAAAGGTATCTAGAGAATATGGTTGGGTGAGGTATGAAGCTTCAACTCCCAATTACGCTTCCAATTTTGGAATAGTGATTTGTTGAAACGTTCTGTGGGCGGGCGTTGTCGTCTGCGACTGCAAAGCATCGACCCTTTCTTTGATAAGTGCTTGGCTGCAGCTGACAATATTTCGGTACATTTGTCGGTTGTGGTCAGTAGGGTTTCTGCTGTGATGGTTTTGGCCTGGTGATGAAAAGTTATAGTGGATTACAACAGGCCTATGACCACCAAACCTGACCAGATTTTTTTTTCGACGAGAGGTTCGGGCATTTTGAAATTTACCTCGGTGGCTTCCTCCAATCCAAACCAGCTGCCGGGAACGTCTCCTGTTATCATACATATCCATTTTCATCACAGGTGACAAATCCGTTCCAAAAACGGGTCAATTCTTTTGCGCAAAAAGCAGCGAGAAGGAACCTCGAGACGTGCGATTCCTGCCGGTCACTCCGATCGTGGGCGCACCCAATTGTCGAGCTTTTTTCACCTTCCCCATGCGCGTTCCAGACCATCTGCAACAGTGGATTTGCCAAGGCTTAGCTCTTCTGCTATCTCTCGGAACTATTTGGGATGGGTCAACCTTCAAAACCCGCTAAAATTCCTCGTCAGATATTCTTTAGGTCGACCGCTATGAGCGCGCTCACCTCGAAGGCTGAAATCTCCCAGAGCCGAAATTTATTGAGCCATTGCCGCAGCAGTTTGCTATTCTTAGCACTATGGGCCCCCACACCTGGTAATTGTTGAGGCTGTTTCGAATGTCGGATTTGCCGCAATTTATAGCGAAGAAAAAAATCGTCCGAAGTGCTCTTTTTCACATGCTTGGAAAAATCTGAAAAAAGAGGGTTTATCAAAGCAATGGTGATTAAACGGCAATTATACCATCAGATAGCGCCAAAGAAATCTCTAGGACAGGATGTGGCTACTGAGAGCAAGGCAGAATGAGTTTTTAATGAGCAGTGAATGTACTAAAGATTAGGTTGCACAAAACGTAGAAACTTTCCGGGACAAATCCTAAATAGTACCACAATAGGGAGTATACATGTCTTGAAAGCTCCTATAACAAGTTTCAGGGAGCGTTGTTGTTATGTTTCATGGAAATCCTTTTTGCTCTTCTCTTCTTGGGGAAATTATTAGCTACTGCTTCTTAACTGAACAACAACTCTCCATAATACTAATCGCCAGACGGTCTTGAATCTAGCCTTCGCATCATGCCAACCTGTTCAGCAATTTGCCAAGTTGTTAAAGGTAATCAATGGGACCCGCCCATCAGTATTTCTCTGAAGGTCTGGTGTATTTCTCCTTCCCTACCAGATAGCGTGTTTATTTATGGCTGTTTTTGTTGTTTTAACTGTTTCACTGTTGCATTTTACTGCTTTGCTTCGTAAGAGCTAACAGAGAATACCGCAATAGGGGAGCAAACATGTTTCGAAGCTCCTATACCAACAAAAGTACATGAAAATGTGAATAAACAACCTCCCTGCGGAGATTTAGCTGAGAAAATGAGAGGCTGTTTGAGCTGGTACTGTAGCCTAGATGATTTGCTGTAGTGATATGTGAAACTATAAAGGGCTATGATTCGGCATTGACCATCATTTTCCACACTCGGCTACTGAATGGGCGAGACTATCGCCCCGGGCACTCAAGTACGTTAGCTGCATGGCCACAAGTTGGTGTAGTTAGCGTTTTGGCTCTAAGCTGCAAATTCAGATTGAACGATGGTACGTAGAAAAGAAACTTGGAGAGGGAGGATTCGGCGCAGTTTATAAGGCAAGTCAAGAGTCGGTGAGCTCTTAAGATCACTCTTAAGGCCGTTGCTTTCATTTAGGTCCGTGATCAAACAGGACAATATGCTTTAAAGGTAGAGGGAGTAGACGAAAAAGTGCAGGTTCGTTTTTTATGAGCAACATTTCCCCGTCGCAAAGGTGTCTCGGAAAATAGTGTATCGCTCACGATGTCTTCAGTTAGGGCGCGTTCACACTTCTCACCGTCGATCGGATCGATCGAGCGATTCCATTGCAAGACCACGTCCCAGAGCGCTCTACCTCCAATCTAAGAACCGCAATAACGGCAGAATTTGAAATGGGCCGCCTTCATGCACCATGCGGAATTTCTTACCTGCCACTCGGTCGTACTCGCGCGATCCAAGTGATTGGATCGTGAAGTATGAACGACCCTCTAAACAGAGGTGGGTACCAGATGCGTAAAACACAGGAGTTTCATGCCTCCTAGAATGTCCTCTTTGATTAACCCATGACCATCTTAATGGCCTGATTCAGGTGTTAAAAATGGAAGTATTCGTACTCACTGAGTTGATGGCTCGAGGTGGCCGTCACTTTTGCAGAATTGAAGACAAAGGAAGATTCGGGAACTTCAATTATGTTGTAATGACACTTGTGGGCAAGTCACTGCTAGATCTGCGCAAGGCCCAGAGCACGCAGCGTCTTACCATAGCTTGTGCTCTTTCTGTAGGCATACAATGCTTAGAAGCTCTTGAGGGTAAGCCGTGGAATATTTGCCTGCTCTTTTCGTCCAACACCTGACAGATCATTTCAGATCTGCATGGAATTGGATATCTCCACCGAGACGTTAAACCGGGTAACTATACTGTGGGGCGGCCAGAACTGCAAGAGTTACGCAAAGTTTACATTCTTGATTTTGGAATGTGCAGAAAATTTACGAATGATCAGGTTAGTAAAAGTTTTTGTAGGACCCAAAGTTCCATAGCAAACTGGAAAAACCGCTCGATGATGTGCTCATCCTAGGTCGTAGAGTTGAGGAAGCAACAGAAAAAACAACGGAGATGGGATAATTTCGAATGCGTGCTCTTTCTTCCTCAACAGTGACTTCGACCAGTTGTACTGGGAATCCCCTCAACAGGCTACGCCTTGGACAAGGGATGGCACCGAAAGAGCTATGAGAAGGTTTACTAAATTTAAGACGGCAACTGTAACTAAAATAAAACGATCCACAATAAACGAACAGGAACAAATTATAAAGAATTAGGACGAGCTTCACAGGAAATCGAGGAGCCAAAGCATAGACAACAGAACAACTACAGCGCAATACAGACGGTTCTAGCACAGGGTACTTAATCGATGGATGAGCAGTAGAATAAGAGTGACAAATCTGGGACCAGTAGTCAAGGGAGGCCAACACAGGAGACGGCCCGCTATTTATTCCCCTGGATAGCGGAGGAATTGATTTGGACGGGTGAGGGCGCGATGAGGTCGGACAAGGCAGAACAGCTGAGATTCCGCTGTATAGAACGAGAAATTCCATCATCAATGCTATATAGAACGAGGAAGTATGTTACAGGAGGAAAAGGGTGAGCAGGTTACAAGACCACCTTCTAGTCTTATCTAAAGGGACGCATCGCGTACAAAAGTGGTGAACTGTCCGACTCAAACACCAGATACCATGTGATAAGTGGTTCATTGAAGACGCAAGCAGGAAAAGAATCATCCGAAAGCGCTCTATAGGACCCCGTGATGAACACAGCTGGTACCTGCATAAGGCGAAAAAATGGTCCAGACGAGCTATCACTTATTGACGTCATAGGGACACCAACCTTTTTATCGCATTACTCACCACTCGGAATTGAAGCAAAGAAGGCATCTGATTCTAAAACCCATGAGTGGACGGAGGCTGTGAGAAGATATGGGTAGCTCGGATCACTATTACCATACATAGGGACATCAGTGGATACTATAACGTGGAGAATCAAAGCCGTGCTTCATCTCCATCATCTGTATGTTGTCACTCGGCTCGCCACATTCCGCGGAGAAGTGTCACTAGCACCATCCTTCGTTACTCTTGTGGGCCTGAACATCCCTGGATCTTTCCGCTCAAGGGACATGGAGCTTCAACGCCTACATGAAGGTTTGTGGCGATAGGCCCGTCGTTGTGCTTGTTAGACGTCTTGAGGATCCGACTGGGGTGTAAGACCATGTTGACCGGGCTCGGTGAGCCACCACTCAGATTTCCCGCCGACGCACTGTAATGAGCATCGACGCGCTACCGATTGTAGCAGCAGCCCGATGGTGGGAACGCAGCCGCAGACGAGTAACGATCAGCGTCATTCGCTACTGCATGAAAAAGAATGTTGGAATAGAAGGGGTTCGCGTTCGCTCAACACACTGTCTGGTATCTTTTGGTTACCGCTAGCGTTTTGAAAGAGCGTAGAGCAGGAGTGTAGCAAACCGTGTGAGACGCAACGGTAACCCTCTTATCCTCCAGGACTCTCTCAAAATGGTAACGGCCACCGCCGATCGATACCTCTGCGGCTCTTCTCCAGTCTGTAGCACTGGGGCGTTGTTGTAAAGGCAGCGTGGCGACGCGCGTCATCGCAAAGTATGAATGCTGCCTAAGCTGTTCAACGAAAATGTTCAAGAACTTCAGCACGAGGAAACACAGGTCACAGTCGTTTAACCGGGGCCCCTTACTTTGTACTAGTAACGCTCAGGGTGTTCACTTATATTCACTGGAGCCGCAGGGGGCTCAAATAGCCATTCTTCCTCCTTAGCCCACTTATTTCAGGGAATCATCAGAAAACCCCGTGCAGCTGCTGGCTTCCGAGGAACGGTCCGCTATGCTCCCATTTCGTGTCACATGCAAAGAGAGTTATGTAGAAAAGACGATGTTGAAACGTGGATGTATCAGCAAGTGGAGCTCACAGTTGGACGAGTCCCCTGGAGGGAAGTCCAAGATATAAATCAGGTTACTTCAGTAGACACTCACAAAGTTTGGTGCAGTTCAGCTTGGGGGGGATGGGCATTCCGCACCTTCGCCACTTCCCGTCGTCATCTTGACCACGTGGGAACTTGTGAAATCTTGTGAGCCCGTGAAGTGATTCCAATCAAATTTGGTGGGTGAATCAATCACCTGTCAACTCTTGTAAAAAAAAGTACCTCTCATCTCTTGCAAAGCAATCAACACGACAAGGGGAAGCAGAGGAAATACCGAACGCCCCTCACCCCTCCTCCTTCCAGCCGGACTGTGCCCGCAATTTCCAGCAGAGACCAGCTTCTTTGTGTTTTAAGGTCGGCGAGTATAAAAAGAGATGTCGTCAACCGCCAGGAATTTATGAAATGTTTGCTCCGCCGTGCCCTAGAGAGTTTCACGAAATACTACAACTTATCGACTCTTATAAGTACTATGACCAGCCTAACTACCAGCAAATCTATACGGTGCGTACGCGTATAAATCCAACATCTGCATTTCTTATTACCAAAATACAATCGATATCAGTGAAGTGAGTGGGTACGTGTCGGCGGCATGTGGGTTAGCGCAGCCCCTTTTCACCACTATCGGGAGCCATGAGCGGCACCGGTCGATGAAAAGCAGGCCGGTGTCATGCTAAAACTCGCACACGTACGAAATGTTTCTCCCCATCCGAGTTAAGGTGGCGTTCGGACTTTGCAACGGCGGCGCTTCAGCTGCGCATTCGACGCGATCGATGCAGTCGAAAGCATGCGCATCGATCGCGTCGAACACGCGACCGAAGCGCGACCTTTGCGAAGTCTGAGGTGCCTGATATAAATCCCGACGCTGCAATCGATAAACTGGCGTCGCCGCACGTCTCTGCATGACATGCCGCGCGCGATGACGCGGCAAATCACGATTGTCTTGTCAACTTAACTTTGTCAGGCCTCTCTTCTAAGAGTGAATTGGCCTTCCTTCGTACCCCAGAAAATACCCATACAACCTCAAAAATTATAAGTAATCCCTGTGAAGCCGTTTTCTGGAAACTGCTTCCTCCTTTCCCCTCTACTGGCGTGCCAGTTGTGAACATTTCTTTAAACGCTATTACCGATACAAAAAATTCCAGCTCATGCGAAGAGCACTACAAAACTGTGGGCAACCAGAGTTCCCGTATGATTGGGAGCGATAGCCAGATTCCAACGTTTTCAAACTTTTGACTGAACAAATAAAGACGTCTGTACAATTAGTAAATGAATATTTGGAGAAAAGAAGTGTTGTATGTATGAACATCAACTGTGTATTTTGTTTATTACCATATGGACAAAAGTTAGCTAATGACACTAACACAATTATGGTATAGTCTGTAACATTGCAATTTGTCGGGAGCGGCGAGCGCAGCGCGGTGCGAGCTCGCGTCCGGCAACCTTGCCAGTGGTATTGAGCAAAGACCGATGTAGCAAGTAATCAGCCACTAGAGGGAAGGGCGCAGATGGGAACCGCTGGTCGCGACCCGACTGGTCGCGGTGATATAAACGGTACATTCCCTGCGGGGAGGGCGTGCCTTCGCTGCAGGTTGTATTTTAGGCGTAGTATGGAGGAAATAGCTTATCCCTCGTCCTGGATCCTCATCCGCGCGCGTGTCGACGAGAGGACCGCTGCGCTTCGACAATCGGGGCCCGTTTGCCCCGGACAGGTACAAAGGACGCGCTCCGCAGCTGAGCGTGCTTTCTGTTTTCAAAGTCGACAAATCCATTTTAGAACCTTTCCATTATCTCAACCCTATGATGAGGACGGTATTTCGGCTTTCCACTCTAACTTCAGCGGATTAAATGTTGGGGTTCTTGCTTGATTGCACAACGATACAGCTTATGTTGACGGTTTAATATTCAGGGAATGCACATCTTATGCATCACAGCTCTCGATCAAAAATAGTACGACCTCTCGAGAACGAATTTTCCATCATCGTTTTTAGTGCATTTGTATGTGTTGCGACCTTCGTACACTTTTGTGCTGCCTGGTAGCATCTAAAAAAATAGCTTCGCATGCAGGATTATGTGGAACCATCTTATTCGAACAAAAAATTCGCAAGCCAGGAGAGTTCAAGAGAAAGAAGAGTGACGGAATGGCATAAAAAGTATGGCATTTAGTAAACGGGACAGAGATTCCAAGAGTTCACTACATGTAGCCAATATCTTCTTGAAAACGGTCAAAAAATAGTACATAGTAATTGCAGCACTCAAGCGAAATATCTCCATTGCACAACACAGATAAGATTTTCAGAGACGCTCTTCGGACTGGAAAGCAGTACGTCGAAGGATCGGGTAAAGCAAACCAAAATAGCAGAAGAGACGGGGGCAACGCTCTGAATGCACCTCCGGAATCATCGCTTCACCGTTTCTTTCGAAGTATTCCCGGGCCCAGCCGATAGGCAGCATTCGGACTTAGCGACGGCAGCGTTTCGGTCACGTGTTCGACGCGATCAATGCAGTCACAAGCATGCGCATCGACTGCGTCGACGCGACCGAAGCGCTGCCATCACGAAGTCTGAACGCCGCCATACGGTTTATAATCCTTTATCCCAGACACATGCATATTCTGTGACTGATGCCTTACGAGACACGGCGTGGTCCATATGTTGTTATGAAAAGGGATCATGATAGGAAGTGTAGAAAGAGCCACCTTTTTCATCTCTGTGATGATGATTTTGTTGGTCGAAGTCTGACATAGTGTTTCTATTTCCCATATGTCTATGCCCCATCATCAAGATTCGCTAGCCATTCCTGAATTACTTGGTGGAAGCAGTTCCCCACTGTTGTTACGACTTGCAAAATGAAGGGCACCTTCTTTGAAGTGCCTCATATGGTATCCTATCCGCTGTTATCATTCCTGCCACCAGTTAATGATCACATCCAGCTGCCTATATCACTTCTTGAAACCCACGTCCCATCGTTTTGATGCTCGCACTATGAAGACGGTGACTTTCCACTTCTGACTCCTCTCATGGAATATTATCAGTTGTTATCACTTCTTGCCACCCACAAATATTGCTTCCATCCTGCCCCTTGTATCACTTCTTGGAACCAACATTTCACCGTTGCTGTGACGCGAGTTATGAATTTTGTGACCCTTTCCTCTCGAGGACCCTTCCCAGCCCTTTTCAGCTGTTATCACCTCCTGTAACCCATCAGTGATGTCCACGACCCCCATATCACTTGCCAATTTGAGCTCTCTATGGAAGGAAGTTACGAATTTCCGTTCAAACACACATCGACAGACAAACACAGTTAATTATTAGTAGGAGGGTAGGTAGAAAATGGTACGCTCGACCTCGTTAATGACTTATCTCGCACCTATGATTCGAGGCGTAACGGTGTGCCACGAACGAGGTGCGAAGCGACCTTATTAAGCCGAGGCACGTCGCACTAACTGCGGTTCGAATAAAACCGAATAAAATAATAATCGAATAAAAATGTATCATATAGTTTTGTTTGTAACAAACTCGGACATCTATCTGCAGTAGGACTCTGTTTGGGCACTTGATACCCCTGCTGATAAAGCTCATTGAATCTGAAATAATAATAGTCTCGTTAAGAGATAAACGAAGAAAGTGATTGAGGAGGGTCCTACTGCGCCATTTCGTCAGATATTTTCTCTTTCCTCTCCATGTACTCTTTTCGTAATGTCCTAACATTCGTTCCTAAATTATAATTTAGGCCAGAGGGTCATTACCTGAACTAACCCGCCCAAGGCAGGCACTGAGATTCAGCGAAATGCAAGGATGCATTTAGTAAGCGTATGGGTTCCAACGAGACCTTCTTAAAGCTTTTCGCCATAAATTCTTGAATATCGAGGTTCGATTAGTTGATTATTGGTTAGTTAAAGGCTAAGCATTATACCATTCCATTCACTCTGACAGGTAGCGCTACCTTATCGTACTACTTTCTCGTAAGCCTTCACCTTAATCTTTTTTTTCTTTTTCGTAAGCCTTAACCTTGATCTGTTGAAAGTTTTCACTCAATTTGTGCCTATTTTGGTAGCTCATACGTGCCTCTTCTGACGTGCCTCGACTTAATGAGGTCGCTTCGCGCCTCGCTAATTATGCCTCGAATCATAGGTGCGACAAGTCATTAACGAGGTCGAGCGTACCAATTTCTACTGACCCTTAGTAGGATTCGAAGCTACGATCCGATACGACCATTCTCAGATAAATATTACACCTCCCCCTAGGACATTTGCTGTTATTCCGCAGAGACATGATGAAGTATTGGCCTCTAAGCAATATCATTTTCCATTGATCATTTCCGATATGTTTCATGCGGTTCGATAGAAAATTTCCCGCTCTGTGAGATAAGAGTGTAATTTCCTTCTCACTATCTCTTGATTCTTGTCGATTTTTATTTCATCGAAATAGAGTGCCTGGTGGACACGAAGAGTTTGACAACTACTTTTGCCCTTTATCTTAGCTCTAAAATAGCAGAAAAAGCTCAGAAGTCGATGTGTATATGACCAAGGAGAAACGCTTCTTAAAAAAGACAAGAGTACCTTCATCCTTCATTCAAGAAATGGGGATTTGGACCTTGTCAATGTACATCGCATGGGGTGCTTCATTGGAGAACGACTGCCTGTAGGAAAAGCCCACTAACTTTCAACTTTTAAAATCAGCTGAGGGTGATGCTTGTTATTGAGAAGAGAGCATTCCATGATCTCTAACGATTCCACATTCCTTGGCTCCATGAGTAAGGTGATTGAGTGAGCTGTCAGTCGGACTCAGGTGGGCATCAGTTTCGATGCTTGTCTGCGAGGTCGAAGTTGGAATTTTCGAATTACTCAAACCATTGAAAGAATTCCTGAAAGACATAGGCCATACACCTAGCAACTGACCTGTGCGCTTTTATCTTTTTTAACTGGAGGTTAAAAGGGGAGGCTGTCGAAAATGCTCAATATCATCAACCTGACAATGACAATCAACACTCTAAGCACTTACATATTAGTGCAAAAAAGAAAGCTCTAGAAAACTAAGAACTATCGTATAGGGCAAGGAATTCTCCGTAAAACAGTCTAAAACTCAATGGCAAAACCTTTCCTCCTTATTGCAAATTCCGAGTAAGAAAAAGACGCCATCATTTATGGGCCGACCCAATATATTATGATGAGAGGCTTGATGGAGAAAGAAATGTAACTAGAAGAAGACAATGTGCGATCTCATGGAGGGAGAAGCTGCCAGTAAAATAAATCGGCTTTAGGATTACAGATGGTGGCCTGTCACAGATTTACTGGTGCGAAATAAACAATGCTCTTAAGAAAATATCGCTTCTTACCGGAGTTCCTCGTGCTGTAACACACGCAACTATTTCATAAAAATTCGTCCTTCCATATCGGCACATGTACATGAACGAACCATCCACCTAGCATTAGAAGAAGGTTAGAGTATTATCGACTGATAAACATAGTATGGTGTGAGAAATTCCACACCACGAAAGTTACCATCAGTTGTTATATGGGAATTCCCCGACTTTTTGCTCGCTTTCCCGCAAAACAAAGGACTCGAACAAGCTGCGGTACAGTTGCACAGGATGTCTTATTGAACCCATTACATCTGATCTCAGCTCCAAGGAAAACTCAAGGGCGGTACCTTGCACTGCGCGGCAGCGACAGCGCGACGCACTGGGAACAATATCCAGGAGCCGTATGCTATACGAGAAGAGGAGTCATGTCCAGCAAATCTCTGCTCCCTGCCGTTATTTCTATCGATGCCCCTCGTCTCTCTGCATCTGCTTCTCGGCATCCTTGCTCTCCCACTCACGTGAGATCTCTCTCAACGACATGCGCTGTGGGAGAGGGAGCACGTTTTGGACCGACGCCTATTTCGGGTGGCGCTCACATGTGACCGCTGAATTTCTCGACGCGAGGCTGGCGTGACATACACGGGGTGTCACGGGCCAAACGGTGCAGGTTTCAGTCGCGATATTTCGTACTGTTTACTTCACTCTGAAAAGTTGTACTGGGGTATTTCACATCCCAGTCACTGATATGGCATTCAATTTGGCACCCGAGCGCCTATTTGATTTTGTTTTGCACGAACGTTTCTAGCAAAATTGATGTAACTTTGCAGTGGGGATATTCAGGGATGGCGATCACAAATATGAGATTTATTTTTGACGCTGGTGCCGTTTGGCGACAAACGGCGTT